CCACTCCTGAGCTGTCCCGCGGCTGGAATACGGCACAGATGGGGCACAGGGAGACCACAACACCTGGAAAGGATGATGTGTAGGCCTGGAAACTGTGACTAAGCAGGACTGTGCACATCAGGGAGAGCTCTGCTCCGTGAGAGTCAGTGAGACAGAGCTCTAGTGAGCACAGAAAGCAAAGAAATGCTCAAGACACACTGAAAACACAAGTCTGAAAAAACAAGCTGTGGCTGTCCCAGCCCTGGAAGTGTCCAAGGCCAGGTTAGACGGGGCTTGGAGCGACCACGTCTAGTGGAAGGTGTTCCTGCCCAAGGCAGGGGGTTGCAATGAGATGGTCTTGAAGGTCCCTTCCAACCGAAACTATTCCATGATTCTATGAAGAGCCCCCACCTTACCACAAGCCCCCCAGCCTGTCCCCCACAACAAGCACTCTATGAAGCTGAGGCTCCAATTTCCCTCAGAATATCCTGAGTTGGAAAGGACCCACAGGGATCATCAAAATCCAACATGGGACCTGCACAGGACACCCCAGCAAACCCACCCTGTCCCTGAGAGCACTGTCCAAATACTCCTTGAGCTCTGGCAGCCTTTGGGCCATGACCACTGCCCTGGGGAGCCTGTTCAGTGCCCGACCACCCTCTGGGGGAAGAACCTTTTCCTGATATCCAACCTAACCTTCCCCTGACACAGCTCCAGGCGTTCCCTCGGGTCCCACATTGAGCCCTTCCCAGAACCCACCTCTGGGGACAAGCACTCAGCTCTCCCATGGCCACCAACCCCCTCACAGTGACCAACATCACAGAATCACAGAATGGTTGGAAGGCATCTCTGGAGATCATCCAGTCCAAGGCAGGGTCACCTGGAGCAGGTGACACAGGAACATGTCCAGGTGGGTTTGGGATGTCTCCAGAGAAGGAGACTCCAGGCTTTCCCCGGGCAGCTGTTCCAGTGCTCTGCCACCATCAACATAAAGAAGTTCTTCCTCATTTTGAGGTGGAACTTCTTGTATTTTAATTTATGGCCATTGCTCCTCTTCCTGTCGTTGACAGGACAGAGTCTGAGACTGAACAGAGTCCGGGACCATCCCGACACCCCATGGAGATATCTGTACGGAGAGATGGGATCCCCTCTCTAAGTTTTCCTTTCTCTAGACTACCCAGGCCCAGCTCCCGCGGTCTCTCCTCACCAGGGAGATGCTCCAGACCCCTCACCACCCCCTCCCTGCACCCTCACCCCCCCGTCCCTGCGTGTCGCGGCCCCGCGGGGTCCCTCCCTCGGGGGTGACACGGCCCCCCGGTGCCCGTCCCGTGCCCCCGCTCACGTCGTCCATGAGGAGCAGGAGGATGTTGGGGGCGGCGGCGGCGGCGGCCCCCAGGGCCCAGCACAGGCACAGCGGCCGCAGCGCCGCGCTCGCCATGGCAACGGGACCCCGCGCACCACGTGACCCGCGGCGGGACACGTGACCGCGCCCCCCCCGCGCGCCCCCGGCGAGCCACGTGACCGGCGGGAGAGGCGGCGCAACATGGCGGTTTGTATCGCCGTGATCGCCAAGGAGGTGCGGGGGGAACGGGCCGGGGCGCGTGAGGGGGACAGCGGGGCCAGGTAGAGTCATGGGCCCTGATCAGGGGTGGGGAGAGGGATGTTGGGTCTGAGGGGAACAGGGAGTCACCGGCAGCTGTGGGGCCTGGGGCTCGGGCAGTGGAGTCTGAGGGGGGCAGCGAGGTCAGGTGGGGTTCGAGGAGGGGTGAGAGGCTGGGCCTCAGGGCGTGGAGCATGAGGGGGAAAGGGGGATCAGGTGGAGTCATGGGATTGGAGGAAGGAAGAGGGGCTGGGCCTCCGGATTTGGGGCCTGAGGGGGACAGGAGGGCCCTGGGGGGTTGTAGGGCCAGAGTGCATCCAGGTGGGGTCATGGGGCCTGATCAGGGATTAGGGTTTGAGGCTCAAGGTGTGGGGTCCGAGTAGGGCCAGGTGGAGCTGTGGGGTCCTGAGTGGGGCAGTGGGGCCAGGTGGGGTCGTGTCATAGGGCCTGAGGACGGAAGAGGGGCCAGGGCTTAAGCTGTGGGGCTGAGGGGAAAAGGGGGGTCAGGTGGAGCTGTGAGGTCTGGAAAGGGTGAGGGGAGAAGGGCTGGGGCTCTAGTTTTGGGGCCTGAGGGGGTTAGGGGATGGGGGGGGGTTATAGGGCCAGAGTGGGTCCAGGTTGAGCTGTGGGATCAGGTGAGGTCATGGGGCCTGAGGAGGGGAAAGGGACTGGGTCCCAGGTTTTGATCCCTGAGCAGGAGTGAGGGGAACAGAACCAGGGCTGTGGGGCCAGTGAGGTTGTGGGGTCACTGAGAGGAGAACTGGACAGGGGCTCAGGCTGTGGGATGTGAGCAGGAATGAGGGGAGCAGCACAGATACAGGGGGAGTGGAGCAGACACTGGGGGTTGAGATGGGCTGGAATCAGAGCAGGGGCAGTGCAGAGGTGCAGGAGAGGAGAGGAGAGGAGAGGAGAGGAGAGGAGAGGAGAGGGGTTTTCCTCAGGAAGAGCTGGGCACAGGCTCTGCTGGGATAAGGAGACAGGAGCAGAGAGGTCTGAGCCTTGAGCAGTGCCTGTGCAAATGATTCTCCTCCCACAGGGACAGCTCTGCACCGAGGGTCTGGAAGGTGTGAAGGAGGCTGTGAACATAAAATGGTTTAAATAGCTCCTGACAGCAGCAGCTCTTTGGGTGAAGCACTGTCAGGGCACCATCACTGATGGAGTGGCAGGTCTTGGTCAGTGTGATTTGTTCTCTCCCTCAGAACTACCCCCTGTACATCCGGAGTGTCCCCACGGAGAACGAGCTGAAGTTCCACTACACTGTGCACACGTCCCTTGATGTCGTGGATGAGAAGATCTCAGCCATGGGCAAAGCCCTCGTGGACCAGAGGGAGCTCTACCTGGGGCTCCTCTACCCCACTGAAGACTACAAAGTGTATCTTTCTCATGCCTTTTGCCAGGCCATGGTGTGTTTAATTTAACGAACACAGAGCTGCTTTCTCCTGCTCTTGCTGGACGAGTGACTCTCAACAGCCCTGTGGGTCATAGAATCATGGAATGGTTTGGGTTGGAAAGGACCTTAAAGCCCATCCAGTTCTATCCTCTGCCATGGGCAGGGACATCTTCCACTAGACCAGGTTGCTCCTGGGTTTTAATAAACTGGGTGTTTCTTCTGGGTGTCTCAGGTCAGTCCCACTGGCTGATGTTAGATCTTCAGGTCTCTGTGGTCTCCCAAACAAGTCCTACAGGCAGAACTTCATAGAATCATGGAATATCCTGAGTTGAAAGAGACCCATCAAAGTCCAACCCCTGCCCCTGCACAGGACACTCCAACAATCTCACCCTGTCCCTGAGAGCATTGTCCAACTACTTGAGCTCTGGCAGCCTTGGGGCTGTGACCACTGCCCTTGGGAGCCTGGTCAGGGCCCAACTACCCTCTGGGGGAAGAACCTTTTCCTGATATCCAACCTAAACCCCTGTGGCACAGCTCCAGCTGTTCCCTCGGGTCCTGTCACTGGTCACCAGAGCAGAGATTGGTGCTGCCCCTCAGGAGGAAGTTTCCTCACATTTCCTCTCTCCGAGTGCATTCCAACCTGGTTTTGGTGGTTTTGCCAGGCCCTGGTGTGCCAGTAGCACAGTCCTTAACACCTGCACAGGTATGGCTACGTGACAAACTCCAAGGTGAAGTTTGTCATGGTGGTGGATTCCTCCAACACGGCCCTTCGAGACAACGAGATCCGCAGTGTAAGTGCAACAACCCAGAGCCACCTCACTGCCTGTGCTCCTGCCACTTACCCACGCAGTGCTGAGAAGCAAAGAAATTAATTCACTTGCAAACCCTTTTCAGATGTTCCGGAAGCTGCATAATTCATACACAGACATCATGTGTAACCCTTTCTATAACCCTGGGGACCGGATCCATTCCAGGTGAGTGGGTTTTCCACACTGATCCCTATGTCTCTGTCACCTTTTTGGAACTTTCAGGGTACCTGTGATTTAACACGACCAACCCTGTGGTGGACCAGTTCAGGTGTGTTTGCTCTAAGTGCCTAAATAAGAATAGCTGTGTTGGTTTTGGGCCATTTCTGCCTCATAGAAAACTTAAAATCTCAAAAAAAATTATATTGAACTCTCACTCCCACCTCAGAACTGGTGTTAAAAACATTAAGTCAAGAAAATGTATTTTTTCGGGAGAAAAATTTGCCTGTTTCATAGATAAATATGAAAATATAGGTAAATAATGGTTGGATTCGATGATCTTAGAGGTCTTTTAATGGTTCTGAGTATTAAAATACAGATAAGTAGAGCAGGTTAAAGAGTAAACAACTGCACTTGTCCAGGGTTTATCCCTTGGTAGGACAGGCATTCAGGACATGTAATTCCTCGTGTGTGAGGAGGGCCAGAACTTCGCATTTCTCATTGTAATCCCACAAGGAATTTTAATGAATTGGGAGTTTCTATAGCCTAGACAAGAACCACTTTTACACTTTGCAGAGGCAGGTCTGCAGCCAGGATAAGACCTGTCCTTCCCTCAGCTTAACTAGAAGTCATTAATTACTCAACGGACCATGCTATAGAGTAAAACCATGTGTGCAGCTTAGGGAAAGCCAGGCAGAGACACTGTGGTGTTACAAAAGCTCTGCTGTGCAGAACTAGCTGCTCCCTTTAATAATCTGTGTTTATTTCCTTCTCCAGGGCTTTTGATAATATGGTGAACTCCATGATGATGCAGGTGTGCTGAACCCTTTCCATCCCACTGTTGGGAGCATCCCCCTTGTACAGGAGCAGTGATGTATATATTGTCTTCAGTCTGTGTAATATTTTAATCTGTAAAATAAACTTGACACCTGCAAAGTTTGCATGGATTTGTACTCAAGCAAACCTGAGTATAGCACGGAATTCACTGTTCACAGAATTATGGAACTGTTTGGGTGGGAAAGGACCTTAAAGCTTATCTCATCCCATGCCTCTGCTATGGGCAGAGACACCTTCCACTAGACCAGGCTGCACAAGATGAGCTCAAAGGTCCCTTCCAACCCAAATAATTCTGGGATCTTCCCTTCCCAGGATGATTTTTGGGTAACTCACTTTTTGCTGTTTTCACCTTGCACCTCATCCAGACAGCCCAGGCACACTCCACAGTGATTCCTAGCACAGGTACAGCTGGAATAAATCCACCCAAGGGATTAAGCCATCAGGCTTGCACAATTGCATGGCTCATCCCAAACTAATCTCTACTAGCATCTCCTCCCCTCCAGCTCCCCGCTGCTCCAATTAAAGACTCCCCAGTCAATAGCAGGTATTTATATAGAATAAAACACAAATTGGACTGGAAAAGCATCCCAAGTTCTTCCACCACTACAAGGTGATACAAGCAGGAGTAGGCACTGAGCAGCTACTCGGTGCTTCTCACACACTTCTACTCCAAGTCTTTCATGCCCCATGAAAGGCAGGAGCCTGTGCTTCAAGCACCTTATCAGTTAAAAATACATAAACCAGCTAAAAAAAAAAATAGAGCCACACAGCTCCAGAGGATGCAGGGAGCCTGGAGAAAGCCAGAACTGCACATGAAGTTCACACAGCAGGATCATTTATTTTGAAAACAAGTGACAGTTACAATACTTTCTCAAACAGAACTTAAGTACATTTAATCAGCAATAATCTGGCAAATCAGGGGAGATTCAAGCTTCTCCCACTACCTCCACAGGGCACAGCTGTGCACTGCTATCCCAAAATATTTTAATCTAAAAATCTTTACTGTTTTCACTCAGAGACAGCAGCTCTGCATTTCCTCTTCCACAGTCCAAACACTCCAAAGTAGTTTTTATATTAAAAAATAAGTCTCAAAAATTTACAAACCTGCCAAACAGAAGCACTAGAAAAAGCTGGTTTATAGTCTAAGCCTAAGGGTAGCTCAAATCAAGGTCAGTCTCTGCAGCACTGAGCACAAAATCAACACAACATGAAGAGTTAAGGCCCCAAGCTTTAAAAAATAAAAATCTAGAGATCTTAAAGGGAAAAAAAAAAATCAGTGGGATTTTTAGGCTGGCAATGCCCCCTGAGCTGTGAAAAGCTGCTTTAGGAGTCAGTTGCATCTGTTGCATCTGGGTTAGAGGAATCCTAACCAAGGATCCCAAAAGATTAGCGGGAGAATTACATAATAAAACCCATTTCCATGCAGAACTTCCTCCAGGAATACTGTCTGCTGGTGTTCCCAACCCTGCCTCTTCTAACACAAAGTTTTCCCTTTAAAATCAAGTGGTTTCAGAACTCAAACACAAAATCAGCAGGAAAGGGAAGAGCCAGAACCTTGTTCCCTGGTCCCCCCTGTGGTGCACTTTGATCCCAATCCTCCAGCTCAGCTGGGCTCACACCATCCTCAATGCAAATCCAGAGCAGGAATGATGGTGGGAATAAAGAGGAAAATCAGACCAAATTTGAAACAACAGAGGTGATTTTGTGACGCTGCTATTGCTGGAAATAAAGTCAAATGATAAGTTGGCAGTTCCTTTGTAGATTTGGAATAAAAGCAGGAGGGAGGGAAGAGGGCGTTGCTGACTTCCAAAATAAAAAGGGGGAAGGATTTTGTGACACTCAGGTCTTGTTTAACTACCAGAGATACAGAGGCTTCCAGAGAATTAGCAAGGGATTTTTTTTCTCTGCCCTAGATGTACAAAGGCAGCAAGTAAAAAACCAGACCCAAACCACATTTGGCTCCAAGAGCAAGACCAGGAAACCACAGGGCTGAAGGAAAAGCTCCCCAGCAGTCAGAGCTAGAGCTGCAAACCAAGACATTAATTTGGAGAAGAAAACAGTCTTTGGAAAGGTCTTTAAGATCTTCTTAGGAGAAGAGAAGGCAGCACTCAGCTGCTGTAGGAAGGGCTGGCAGAGCTGAGGGAGCTTCCCAGCTGAGCAGTGGGGTGGAGATCACCTGGACAGCCCTTTTCCATGGGATGAGAAGGAGACTTGATGGTCTGGGAGGGCTCTTCCCTTCCCAGGACAGTGTTCTCTGGAATGAGCCTGTTCTCGAAGCAAACACAGTCCCCTGAGCTGAGGTGAGACGAGCCCCTCCTGGGATTCTGGCAGGAGGGAGCAGATTCCATCTTCCCTCCCACAGCCTGGCACAGGGCTCACCAGTAAATCCTCACAGCCAGGCAGATGGCGTTTTTTAAATTAATCTGTTTTTTGGCTTGCATAGGCATATTTTTAAATCTCTCCCAATCCCATCTCATTTCAGTCCCATTGGCATCACCAGGGCAGTCCAGTCCTTTCTAGTATGGAAAATACCAAGGCAGCAGCTTTGCCCGACCCCTAAACAGGAACAAAAACAACATCCTAAAGCACAGGGCACCTGCTCCCTCACCCCTCCGAAGGCTGGGATTCACCCTTCTGCACCAGCTACCCCATACTGCACCCCCAAAACCAGGGAAGCATCAAGCCAGACACAGCTCTGGGACTGGTCAAGACTGGGACTGCAATGCACACCCACCATCCCCCAAATCCCTCCAGGGACAGAGGGGCAGCAGCAGGTTTTTCCAGGTGTTTCTTCCTTCCAGAGCCTTTCTCCCTTCTCCCCATCCATGCCACGGTGAGAGATGCAAAGCCAGGACACTGAGCACGGCCAGAGCAAGGAGTAACCCCATCCCAAGGACACTCTGCTCCATACATAAGGAATCCCCCTGCTCAGCCACTCACCTGTACGTCCTCCCTTGCACCCTGGGGTGCTGCCCTCCATAGTAGCCTCCCCACCGAGCGTGGTAGTGGCCCCGGTAGCCCCCACGGTCGGTGGTGCTGATGCCAGGCATGTTGGTCCTCTTGGGAAGCACCTGGAAGGCGGGAGGGGCTGTCAGAGCTGGAATTTGGCACAGCCCAACACACCTGGGGCTGGGAGGGTGGGCACAGCCCCCGGGGCCTCACCCAGCTCTTACCTTAATGACTCGTCCCCTGAAGATGCTCTCGTCCAGCTCCACTGCAGCCTTCACAGAGCTCCTCTCCTCGAACTCGATGTAGGCATACCTGGGAGGGGACAGGGTGAGCAGAGCCCCAGGGACACCCTGGAGACCCCCAACCCCTGCACACAGCACTAACCCTTTGGGGTGCCCTGAGAACTTGTCACAGAGGATCGTGACCCGGTTGATCTGCCCACAGCTGTTGAAGTGAGATTCCAGCTCCTCCGCCGTGCCCCCGTAATCCACCTGCAACAACAGTCCAGGCCCCCCCAGCTCATGGGTCTCAGATTCACACCCCATCATGTGAGGCAAAAGGCCCAGCTGGCTCCACTCACACCTCACCACCACAGCTCCAGCATTTCCTGAGGGTCAGGAGACCCTCCCAGTGAGTGCTCCAGCCTGGAAACATAAATCCAAGAGAGCCCAGCCCCGTTTTGAGGGAACTAGAAATACCACACAACCCTCAGCCTCCAGAGGGGTATTTTGGGGAGCTGACACTTGCAACAGAGGATCTGCAAGTGGATGAGAATCGCAGGGAGAGGCTGAGCCACATTTCCAGTCTGGGCTGGGCAGAGAAGGAACATTTGGGATAGGACAACCCAGCCTTTGGTAGAGGGCTGGAGCATTCACCCAGGGATCTGGGACATATGGCAGCGGGAAGTGCTCTGCTCCAGGGCTCCCACTTACATTGCCCACGTAGATAGATCGCTGGTCAGCCTCCACCTTCTCCTTGGCTGTCTTTGGGAAGAGACCTGTGGAAAGGAGGGATGCTTTGTCATGGATAGAGTGGCAGGAGCCACGTGGCAGAGGGATGTCTGTCTGTTTGTCCAGGTCTGCCCCCAGCATGGCCACCACTGAGCTGCCACACTCCAAAGCTCCTCAGATCCCTGGTCGAATCCAGGTGTACCCAAATCCCCACACTGTTGCCTCTTCCTCCATGCCCTTGCCCCTTTTCTCTTCAGTGACTCCTCTACTGGAGCTGTTGGTGCTAAACTCACTTACCTGAATCAAATGTAATTGAATTAATTTATTGCATCTTGGCCCACATAGGTAGGAGGTAAGAGCTGATATAACCTGCATTAGCACCATGCCATGCCTGGATCCCCCTCACCCACCCTCAGTCCCAGGTGCCCAGAGAGGCAAAGCCATATGCTCTGGCTCCTGCACCCCAGAGGTGTCCCTGGGGGGACAGCAGCAGCCAGGGACAGCCCATACCTGCCTCTGAGCTCATAAACAGGTGACTCTGAGCTTCCAGCTGCAACTCCTTCAGCTTCTCGTCCTCCTTCTCAATCTCCTGTAGTTTGGCTTTGATGGCCTCCAGCTCCTGAATCCCAAACCAAGACTGGCATGAGCAGCACACAAAGCAGGGACACCCCAGGTGTAGAAAGTTTCCTACTTCCTTCCAGCACCAAAGAAAACTGGTTCCCTGACCAGGCAGGCACTCACTGGGTCCTGCACAGCCAACTCCTCCTTGCTGTTCCCCTCCAGGTGGCTCAGGTCTGAGTTGTCATCTGCTGCCTTACACAAAGCTGCCATCTCTGTTACGTCCCAGGACACCTCCTCTGCTTCCAGGGACAGTGGGTGTTGCCACCAGATGTCTGAAGTGTCCAGGAAGAAAGGACTGGGCAGGACAAGGGGCAAAAAGGCACTTAACAAACAAACAGCCATTTAGCGTGGAAGCTGAAGCAGAATCTCAGCCAGGCAAAGGCGCTAAGGGTGTTCCCAGCAGAAGGATGAACAGGTGACACTAATGCAGCTTGTCTGCCATGCAGCAAGACTGCAAAACTGCAGGACTGAGGGCAATCAAAAGGTCTTCAGTTCATACTGAGTCACTGCCCAGCTCAGGAGGGCTACAGAAGGGAACTGGAAGCACCTTCCCTCAAGTGACAAAAACCCAGGTGCACAGTCCCCAACCAGCTGGCAGGGAAGGGAAAGAGAAGGCAGGACATGGCCACCAGCAGAACTCTCAGGCTGAACGGAGGGAGCAGTAGGGAGCTCTGCCTCCTCCAGCAAAGGTAGACCTGCACCCTCCTACCCCCCGAGGAGCCCACAGAGGGACAATGCTCTCCCACGTGTGCACACGAAGCCGACCCTGCCCCATCCCGAGAGAGCCTCGGTAGCTGTCCCCGAGCTGTGCCCGTCCCGGAGCCCTCCCCGGCCTCACCTGGCCCGACGGCCGAACATGCTGCGCGGAGCCGGCGGAAGCTGCGCCCACGTGCGGATTTCCCTCCACCACGAGCGGCCCCGGCGCCGGCGCGCCACTTTCACACATCAGCGACCAATCAGAGCGCGGCGCGCGCCAGGCCCCGCCCCGCGCCGGCAGCGCGTGGGAGGTGGCCCCGCCCCGCCGGGACAGGTCTGCGGGTTCGAGACCTGGGGGCGGCAGCGGCCTCCGCCTGGGGATGGCACACGTTGGCGGCTGGAGGCGTGGCCCCTCCGGGGCTGGGGAGTCGCTCCCGACCCTCCCAGTCCACCGACCCTGCTGGTGGTGCTAGAGACTGCAGCCAGGTCCCAGCACAGGGGGAGCAGCGAGGCACCCCAAGGGGGGACACATCCCTTTGGGTTCCCTAGGGACACACCTGAGTCCCCCCCGCCATGGACACGCCTCCTTTGCAGTGTCCGACCCTGAGGCTGTAAGGAACCCCCCAACCCTGGGTTGGGGCCACCAGGTGCAGGGCATTGCCAGGAGCAGGAGGGGAGGGCACCCAGCACAAGCCCAGGCTATGGAGCCTCCAGTAGATATTAAATTGTCTTTATTACACAGATACAGAGTTAAGAACAGACATAACCTGAATCATAAAGTTTACATCTTTCACAGGTCAAACATACAGTACACTTAGAGAAAGCAGGGAACAGCAAGGGGAGGGACAGCATGCCGAAGGAAAGTCCTACCACGTCATCTCTCAGGGCTGGCCCCCAAAGCCCACGCCTGGCTCTGGTTTCCAGCCCTCCAGGGATTCCTGTGCTCCAGTGCCCCTGTCGTCAGGGCTGGCTGGGTAACACGGGCAGGGCTCAGCCCCGCACGGGACCAGGGAATGGGTGCTGCCCACAGCCAGGAGGGAGGGGGGACACGGGCACCACACCTCCCTCTGGGGGCTGTGGCTTTTGGTGGCATCAGAGGAGCCCCCGGGGCTGCCATGGCAGTGGGGACACCTCATCACTGTACCTAGGGCCTGGGAACACGGTGGCATCTTGTCCCTGATATCAAACCCACCAGGATCCAGAGGGGTACCCCAAAGAAAAAGGAGGGGATTACAGCAGCCCCCAGAGGAGGAGGATAAGGAGACACTGGGGTGCTGGGGGAGGGTTTGAAGGGCTCTGGCAGTGATGGTGCAAAGCCCAGGTGTGGGACCCTCACTCTGGGATGTCCAGCCTTGCTGGGATGTGGCACTTTGGTTTCAGCTGGAATTTCGAGTTGGGAATGTGAGGAAGGGGCTGGAGATGGAACACCAGTGCCGCGCTTGGCACCGGAGAGCCACATCTCTCCTGCCACCTCATCCAGCTTGGTGCTATGGCCAGCACCCAGTGACCTGGGCTTTGCCTCCCTGTGGGGACACGGACCTGGGACATGCTGTCCCCATGTCCCCACACCAGCCGGGATGGGGGCAGGAAACCCCAGAGCTGTGGGCAGCCATGGGGACCTGGTCTGGCCCAGCCACTGTGGCACCTCGTGTCCCCACACTGCCCCACAACCACCAGGGTGTCCCTGCCCCAGCCAGGCTGTGCCAGCCCACCCTGCTTATCCACCTGCCACCTCCCAGATGGCACAAAGCCACCAAAGGACACAGCTGGGGCACAGCATGTGGCACACATCCCTTGGGCCCCTGCACACCCCTACAACACCAGTTTGGAGTAAAACCCCAGGGAAGCACCCACTGCCCTGACCAGCACCACCACAGCATTGCCCTGGCCCCATGGCCGCACTGTCCTCCCACAGGAGGACGAAATTTTTTGGGAAATATCACATTTAAAGCTGTCGTTCTGGTTTGGATGCCTGCTGGCGCCGCGCCGCCCGTCGCCGCCATCCCCTCCCACCCTCCCTCAGCTTTTGGTTTCAATGCAAGGTTCTGTAGGGTAGTTTTATTCTTATTAAAAAAAAAAAAGAAAAAAGAAAAAGAAAAGAAAAAATCGTAATAATTGAAAAAAGGAGCAAAACAGCAGGGAGTGGAAATGAGAGCAGCCCCTGCAGAAGTGCTCTCACCCGCGGTTTCCCAGCGAGGTGGAGGTAGAGAGGCAGAGCCCCGGCGGAGACACGCGGGGGAGAGGGCAGGGATGGGATGGGACGGATACCCAGGTGAGCAGGGGCATCTGCAATACTCATATATTACCTCTTCTCAGGAAACGTAAGAAAAATAGACAATATTACATATGTCACATCATAAATAAAGTGGTCACTGGAGGGGCAACTGGCAAAGCTCCCAGTGTTGGGGTGCACAGAAACCACCCAGGGGGTGCACCAAGGTCTCAGGGTGCACAGAAGCCTCCCCAGGGGGCTTGCCAAGACCTCGGGGTGCACAGAACCCGTAGGGAGATGCACCAAGGTCCTGGTGTGCAGAGAATCTCCCGGGGGGGATGCACCAAGACCTTGGGGTTCACAAAACCCTACTAGGGGGATGCACCGAGGTCTTGGGGTGCACAGAAATCCCCTGGGGGATACAGTGAGACCCTGGGGCGCATAGAATCCCTTTGGGGAGATGCACTAAGATCTTGGGGTGCATAGAACCCTCCCAGGGGGATGCACCAAGACCTTGAGGTGCACAGAACTCATTCAAGGTGACCCACCAAGTTCTTGGAGCACACAGAACCCTCCCAGGGG